AAGATGAGGGAAAAAAATTTTGAATTTTGAATCTTGAATTAAGTTTTAAACTCATAAAATTTGGACACAAAAAGAAAGTTTTTATATGAATTTCTAAATCTAAATAATCTGAAAATTTTCAGGATTTATACTAATTTTGTCAAAATTTGAACTTCAGAAGCTCATCAAAAATATATTCTGATTTTACGCTCAGCACCGCTAAAATCCTCGTGGGGGAACGTCCAATATCGTACAGCAGAGCGGTACCAATAACATTCCACTTTTTTTTTTAGTAATAATTTGCTTTCAGGGAGCTCCTTTGTAAAGCCCCATTACACCACTAAAAGCCTCACAATAAACAATTATACCATGTAATATAAATGAGCGTTATAAACAATGATATTAATAATAATTTAAAAAAACGCGGAAGATTTTGGATATCATCCTCTCATTCGAGAAGCGTTCCAAGTTGGTATAACAACAATAGATAAACACACGCTTTGACAAACATGATAACAGGCAAGCAACTATTCAAAGAGTTTCATTAATCATTAGTTTGTTTTCGTTTTGACTTGGTTAACTCATACATTTTTCGGCATATCCTCAAGAGAATTTCTTGTATTTATTAAAAAGTTCTTAATTTTGATTTAAATACATTACATTTGTGTGTCATGCTGACTGATTTCTAAAAACTAAAAGGTATAAAGTATTTATTACAATTAAATTGTATTTCACTGAAAGGCATTACTATTTACTTTTTTTGTGAAGAATATTGCTTATACTATCATGACTACCCTACTGGACCGTTTGCAAGAACACTTGGTAAAGAAGCGACAAGGGTTGAATGATGTACATGAAACGTTAAAAAAGATAACTGGTCGTGATACGTTTGATGATCATTTAAACCATGGTAAATTCAACAAACGACCACAGGTAGGTGGAGATCAAAAACCACAATTCAGAGAGTTAATAAAGAAGGATGTTAAACGATTACGAGATAATAAGCTTTCCTTTCGAATTGATAATCAGAATCGTAAGGTTTTTGTCAACCCTACCGAATCATCAAAAATTTTTAAAAATGGAAATAATTCGGGTAGGATATCAGCTAAGGATCGCTTAGGGACAATTGTTGCAGATGATCATCAGGCACCTATAAAAGAAGAATATGAAGATGATGAAGATATGGACGAAGATCCTACGCCGAAAAAAACCCTTCAATCACAAGTCATGTTGTCATCTAAAATTATGAAATCTCGCACTGAAGTATTGGCTGCTCAACAAGGCGATCAAGTGACTAAAGAACGAAACCGACGTATGTTTGGGTCGTTATTAGGTACTTTGCAAAAGTTTAAGAAAGAAGAAACCCAATTAAAAGATAAAGAAGAGAAAAAAGCTAAAATTGAAAGAAGATTAGATGAAGAAGCATTGAAAGAAAAAGAATCATTAGTTTTAAGGAAGCGAGAATTATTTATGCTAAGAAAACAGCAACAGAGGGATATAAAAAATATAGAGATTAAAATGGGATTGGTAAGAAATTTTGAAATATTTGAACGCCAAATAAATTGCACAATGAATTTTATTAAAACTGAATTTGATCCTTCGGTGTTTTACTTGCCTAAAATACATAACGAAAAGACTGAAAAAAAATTAAGTAAGACGCGTTCATATTTGAGCAATATTTTGGGGAAGAAGAGGAATATGGTTGAAAGTCAAATTGAGAAGTTGTTACAACCTAATGATGAACAAATGGAGTTTGATGACAGAGTGGAAGATGGTGAAGTAAGAGTAGCTGATGAAGAAGAAGATGCTGATGTAGATGTGTACGAAAGGCATCAAGATAATGGAACTTTCAACTATGATTAAATGTAATTTTTAATTACAAGTACAATGGACTCAATATTTTGTATATTTATTGTAAATATTGTTTTAGCACCTTCAAAACTGTTTTAAATAATCAATACAAACTCAAGTTGGGCTCATTTATTTGTAGACTAAACCTTTTTTTAAATACATTTATTTATTTTGGTATTTGAATATTTTATAAAAGATAAAGATGGAGATTACATGCCATTTTAGTTTCTTGTGTTTAAAATTAATACTATGTAATCATAAGTGTTAGTTAGTCATTCATTGAGTTTGTCTTAATATGTGTACCTTAATTTAAATCTCATAATTCCTGTTTTAAATTAAATTGTTACTTCTGCAATCTACGACCTTTTAACTAAGTGTTATTATTTTAGGTATATTCTTAAAAGTAGATTTAAACGCTTGTTGTTCAAACCGATATATAACCAAAACATTTTGATTTTTAAACAATAAAAATAAATTATCTAAATGTTATTACAGCATATGTTATTAAAATGTATTATTTTTATATATAAAACGAAAAATATAGAATATCCATAATTGTTCCATATTAATTATATACTTAAATAATAATTTTTTTTTGTACCTACTATTTAATTAATAAACATTAAACATATATTATTATTAACACTTAATTACTGAAGTGCACGAGGATAGTGCAGGGTATGCACATTCCACACCTATTGCCATTTGCCTTAATGTATACTTGCATCCATACAAATAACTTTAATAGATTCATGGTGTATAGTTTCCGCCAACAAATACCATGAAAAATTAAATTTGATTTATGAAAATATTTTTTTTTGTATAATGATTTGAGAAAAAAAAATGTGTTAAATATTGGATGTTTTCTAAAATAAATAATTTCTAACCAATTATATTTGCTGGAGGATTTGGTGTAATATTTGAAAGAAACACACCACGTTTAAACAATTTGTATGCACTTATATGCCAGGCTATGCACATAATTCATTACCTCTATAGTCAATATAACATGGTTGAAACCGTTTATAAATTATTGAATAATATATTTGGGTTTGTAATTTGTAATATACCAATAAAACTATTTAGAACTTATTATGCATGAGCTAATATTTTTTTTAAATTATTTTATTTTTTACAGATTTGCAGCTTATAATAATATTGAATCGTGTTTACTGAATTAGTGGTTAAATATTATATAAAATAAATGTAAATTTAAGCATACAAAATTATACTATGAGATCTTTAGATATTATTAATTCTATACTTTTCTATATAAATTATAATTTTTTTTATCCCCTTTACATATTAAACAATTCAATTATTGATGAATTATTTTTAAAGGATAATGCATATTTCATTAAAATCCTAACCGTATTTACTACTAACTGATGAACACATATTTTTTAAATAACACTCGGAAAGTAGAAACATAATGCATTATAAATATATATAGTAAAACCTTATAACTGAATACATTGGTACCAAATGATTTTCTGGTTTTAAAGACGTTTTTGTTGAAGGGAGACTAAAATATAAGGTATATAGGTTGCTGGGGACTGTTGTTATTTTGTTTTTGAGAAGGTCCCTGTCATGTAGGGGGTCCATTTTAAGAAAGTTTGTACATATAGCTGCATGGATAACATAATGCTTAATTTTGTCACAAAATCCACGAATTCAAATTATCTATTTGATGTAAAGTGAACAATTATTTGTATATGAATAGATTATGTTATTTTTTCTAAACAAAACAGAAGAAAAATTAAAAGTACAGTCTTAAATGTTCAAATGTACATTTTTAAGTCGTTTTGCACTTTCTAGTTTCTATACAAGTTTTTTAGGTACCTATCTCATAAGTTATAATTTATGCATGAAAGAAAAACCCTGTACTTACATGAAATTAATACTAAATAATATAGTTTACAGCATTATAATATATTTTTGAAATCATAGTTAATTGTTAAATCATTTTTATAAATATGCTCACCCTTAGTTAAGTTGTACTAAACAAATTTTTTAACACTATCACAACATAGGTACAATAGATAAATTAAATTTGTATGTACAGTAAATTATATAATATAGGTACCTAATAATATTTTTAAAT